TCATGCATACGTTTCCATGTATCTCGGGCGCAATATATTATAGAATGGACAGACAAATCATTTCTATTTCAAAGTCAGTAAATTCTAATGCGCCCTCTATAACGTTTCTGTCAGTAACTTAGGGTTGAATTTCCCACCGTGCACTTGGAGTGACCTCTCAACTTGGCAAAAAGTTGTTGTTATACCCTGGTATTTTGACTCGCCTCATGCTTTTCTGGTAAGTGGAAGTCTACATATTTATCCTGCTAGAAAAAGACTGGACTATTCTGAGTAATGGTTTACACCTCGTACAATATAAACTTATTTATTGTGAGTCATGTTCGCGAAAATATGGTCGTTGTTCCATAATTTATCGTAACTGGTGTTTCAGCGGGGTGTATTGTGTCGCCTGCTCCTGGTTTCATTTACAACCACTCGCTGTGTTGTTTGCCTGCGTGCTGCCGACCTGCTGGTGATTTGCGTTGCTAGGTAAAACTAACGTTAACGTTTTCAGTATCCCTTTTCGGAACTGATAGCTTCAGACCTGGAGAAGATCATATGCTTGGAAACTCTTAAAAAATGAAAAATACGCGAACAAAACGAAACAAACGATGAATGTAGCTGGCACTCCCACCCACAACTATAGTTGTAGTATTTATGTTATTTTTAGAAGCGATTAGATATTACTAGTACTACGAATATCGTGGTAAATTGTATCAATGAGTAGACTAACGCGTTATATTATGTTTAAAAGTACTAAAACATGATATCATTTGGTTATAAGGAAAACACACATAAAAAATACCACATCACGTTTTTCTAGTGTGTGAAAGAATCTGTTGTTATTACGCATATGTCAGCACATCAAACGCGATATATTGCAGCATGCCATCATTTCCCGGTACTATTCAACGTGTAATCGTCCTAGTACAGCTTAGAATCTGTGGTAGTCTACCTCCTATACATCTACTCAATGTCGAACTTAGTTTTGGTTCTGCTGCTCCAGTCTTTGGTGATGTTACCCTACCTTGTTGTTGTTGTTTTATTATTTTTTGTTTTTTTGCGCATTTCCTCTTGTCTGCCACTGAGCAGTAAAATATGGATGGACATGAAACCATAAACCGTAACTATGTCTATATTTAGTAACAGTAATATTTCATTGCATCTTTTGAAAAAGAAATTTTTATCAGTTTTTAGCAATAAATATATCAATAACAAAAACTAACAAGTAATACAAATATGCAATTTCATTTTGTGTTTGCGAAGCAATTGTTTGCAAAACTTTTGATCATTTTCTCATCTATTTTTATATAGTTTCTGGATTTGTTGACGGTCTAAATGATAATTAAGACAAAGTAGTAAAAAGTGTAATTCATCTTCAAAATTATTTAGCGAACATTGTTTACAAATTGTATTCGCTAAAGGTGTCATTGGCTGGGTATGCCTTTCTTTCACAATTACTAAACTGTGCTTACTTGTTCCAAAAATTTATGACTAATATCAGTATACCTATTGAGATTTCTGCAAACATTGCATACTCCATTGATGACGTGAGTGTCTGAATGAATAGCGAATTCCTAATCTGATCTCTGATGATTGGAAATATTTACATTGACAGCATTAGGACCAATCAAATCTGGCATATAGAAAGTAGAGTGGTGCATGTGCTCAGGATAAACCATTATCATGTAATTCAAATTTAAATTATGGAATAATGATGTGAAAGATATGGTTTCAAAAAAATTACTTGTTTAATAGATGTATCTTGGTTGTATTATACATAGGTTAGAGGTCAAAGGTCATTAAAAGGTCAACCCAACTTTATTCCCTTTACTTCTGTAATAAAACATAAAATAACCTGTGCATGAAACATTAATGACTGCAGAGAATAGAAATATAATTTATATTTACTGGCTTTTTGTTTTGTGATGATGGCCATACAATAAACTAGAAAGAATAATACCAGTAAAAAGCTTATAAATTGCACTTGTCTAAAGAAAATGTTTAAATAAAAATAATAAACTTTTTTACATGTATGTGCATGACCAACTCCAACTTTCAAGAGTCAAAATGACAAAAATTGTGAATTTACGGAACTATGCTTACGAATCGTATGCTATTTTGTGGTAATTAGACATATCTAAGTGCATCAATGGAGATG